CAGAGCAGTGAGAACCCTGGGAGGGATGGCTGGTGCTAGAGTTGGGAGAAGTAGGGTCATCACTGACGGTGTGGGGGATCACTGGTGGTTGACAGGGACTGGGAGGTTAGTGAGGTCAGACTTGGATGTTCCCGTGTCACTTCCTATGCTAGGAGAGGCTGGTCCTTGGAGAGGGACGTGTTTGGAAAGGTAGAGGGACAGGAGAGAGAGGAAGACCCTCAACCACGTGGACTGACATGATGACTGCAGCTCACGTGTGTCAGAGATTGTGAGGACGGCGCAGGCCAGGCCAGGGTTCAGCTCTGCCATTCACAGGGTCACTTTGGGTTGTGCTCAAGTTCATGGTAGCTAACATAACTAACATGCCTGTTTTTACAGACTTCATCTTCTATACTCTGGGCATGGTGTCAGAAGAGGCCATTTCTGGAAAGTTCCAGTTGCTCAGAGGGTCAGCAAAGAAGAGGAAGCCCCTCAAAGAGATGGATCGACACTGTGACTTCAACACTGGAAGGTGAGCACGTGGCCGGATGGGCAGGGTCTCTGCTCCGCCAGGTCACTCTGGGCTGGAGCCAACTGGACAGCAATTAACATGGAGACGCACCATGCATTACAGCCTCCTGTCACCGTCAGCCACAGACACCACGTTACAGCTGCCTGTCACTGTCAGACAGAGACACCACATTACAGCAGCCTGTCAGTGTCAGAGACACCACGTTACAGCAGCCTGTCACCATCAGAGACACCACGTTACAGCAGCCTGTCACCGTCAGAGACACCACGTTACAGCAGCCTGTCACTGTCAGACAGAGACACCACGTTACAGCTGCCTGTCACCATCAGAGACACCACGTTACAGCAGCCTGTCACCGTCAGAGACACCACGTTACAGCAGCCTGTCACCGTAAGAGACACCACATTACAGCAGCCTGTCACTGTCAGACAGAGACAACACGTTACAGCAGCCTGTCACCGTCAGAGACACCACGTTACAGCTGCCTGTCACCGTCAGAGACACCATGTTACAGCTGCCTGTCACCGTCAGAGACACCACGTTACAGCAGCCTGTCACTGTCAGACAGAGACAACTCGTTACAGCAGCCTGTCACCATCAGAGACACCATGTTACAGCAGCCTGTCACCGTCAGAGACACCACGTTACAGCTGCCTGTCACCATCAGAGACACCACGTTACAGCTGCCTGTCACCATCAGAGACACCACGTTACAGCAGCCTGTCACCGTCAGAGACATCACGTTACAGCTGCCTGTCACCGTCAGAGATACCACATTACAGCAGCCTGTCACTGTCAGAGATACCACGTTACAGCAGCCTGTCACCATCAGAGACACCACATTACAGCAGCCTGTCACTGTCAGAGACACATTACAGCTGCCTGTCACCGTCAGCCAGGGACACCAGGTTACAGCTGCCTGTCACCGTCAG